TTTTTGACTTTTTCCATACTATAATGAGTATAATCTTCCTCCATTTCCACTTAACTCCCAACTACCTGATCCAGTGTAACCACCACCAAATCAAACAGCATTGGCCGCAGCCATCCTCAGAAGGCGGCTTAGAGCAGCCGGGTGAGGAGCTTGAAAGAAAGCTTACCTGCTAAGAGATGGTTGTAACTTGTAAGCTCTCTATGACAGAAACAAAGTGCTGCTACAGCATCTATGTGCAAGTGCAACCCTAAAAGAATATGAAGAGAAAAGTAACCGCGAAAAACTTCTCTACAATATGCTCAACCAATTGTTATTTTTCCACATTTCCCCCCAAATTTTAAGAATCATATAACAGTCTTGGGCTTCTCTGGTTTTCTTTACACTACAAGTACAAACAACTCTCATCCAAGGACATTGGGACACAAACAGCTGATTGAAATGAGGCCCAAGCCAAGATTCACTTTAAAAAGGAGAGAAAATGCATAAAGACCTTAATATTTTTCTTCTGAGTATGGACTGAATGCAGCTCCAAATACCGCGGCAACATAACCTAAAAAGTTATGCTACTTAAAAAGCTCAGTTAAGGGTTGCGCAAAAGATTCAGTTTTGCAAGTAATAAAACTGACAATTGTTCAAGCACTCCCATAGACTTGCCATCGAGTAAATTGACACTCCTACAATATCTCAGCATTAGGATCAGTGACGAGTACTAGTCCTCAACCCCCAAATTTCCAGTCGACTAGAATGTGAAGTTCAGTATGACACATTCAGATCTCCCAATATCAGTCTAAATTTTGGTAATAAACATAATAGAAAGACACCCCTGCAGCCTACCCATACGCCCCCCCCCCCCCCCAAAAAAAAAAAAAACCCGCTTCTCTTCTTCGCAATGTATGTAGGAAAAAGAGTAATTACATGTGATTTGCATCGTTAATTCTTTATTCCGTCTCTTTCTCTCTCACCCCAATGTATGTAGGGAAAAGAGTAACTAACAAGAGGTTAGCTTAGACAAATTCTCTATGCTTCATGAAACTGAAGGTCAGCAGTAGAATCGCCACTCCTTAGCAACACCCAAACTAAGATTTGAGAGGAAAACAAAATTCATGAAAATTTTACAAAATAAAACTGTCCTACATTGCTACATTCAAGGACAACTTCCATAATATAGTCTCACTTTCCTCACCCTTTGTAAGCTAAAGAGGACAAAACCTCAGTATTTGATTAAAATACTTGTACATTTTAGCACTGAGGCTCTGTTTGGCACATCATTTCAAACTGCCTATTGGTTATTCTAAATTCGGCATTTCTTTACTAACAACTTTTTAGTACAGGATAAAAATTGAAAGGAGATCAAGAAAGTACAGGATAAAAATTCTATGTACACACATCTATAACAAATATTGATAGTGAAAAAGAGAGAACAAAATCAAAAGGCAGGAGTATCTATCTTCCATCAAATTGAAAGTAGATCAAGAAAGTACAGAATAAACATTCCATGTACATACATGTCTACAACAAATCTTGACAGTGAAAAAAAAGATAACAAAATCAGAAGTCAGGAGTTGTCCATCGCACATTATAGTCAATATATGAATGTAAGGTCGGTCAGTCTTTGCATTATAAGGACGCTAACACCAGTTAACTTGACCACAAGAATCAAGCCTTAAAAAGACAAGTTATATCTTAAAACACACAACTCCCACAAAATTATTATTAAACCATAACGAGCCTCGTCCATAGAGACTTGCATGAAAAGAAGCATCCCTTACCTGAGCTGAACCCTTGTAGTACAATGCCCACTTGACCAGCTACCTCTCCTCCACAAGGGGCTACAAAGATACGAACATAGAAAATAATATCCCTCGAATCCTCCAATTATCTAAAGTGCTCAGCAAATGCCTTGATCTCTTTGGATCTTTCTGTAAATCTTCCATAATGATATAACCATCTACTTCACCTATAATAAAGTAATCCCAAAGCAAGTATATTGGCAACCCGCTTCACACTTGATTCCCTCATCTTTACCCCATAGTAAGTTGATACAAGCTTTAAACAGATTCAGCTAAATCTGGTAACCATCCCTGAACAAATTAGCAAACCATACTATACAGTACTACCTCATCTACCTGATTGTAAGTCAACATAGATTGTTACTGTTAATAACTTAAGCCTTCCAAAATCATCCCAATAGTAAGCAGAAGATAGAATCAGGCAATGCTTCTGAAAACAATTATTTAGCAGGGTACTTTGAACCAAACGCCTACTAGATTAAAAAAAAGTTGGAAACAACGTTCAAAAAAATAAAATAAAAATAATAATAGAAAAAAAAAGTTCTGAGGAAATCAGCAAAGTAACACTTAGGAAAGTCAATAAGCACATGGCCTAACCTAAACTATATGATACTGGTACAAGATCACCAATATAATTGATCAAAACTCTAGACTACACTCCTGATTAAAGAAGGCATACCAAGCTGAGTTGAAAGATCTAAAGTAATCAAAAGGTTGCTTCAAATATCTAAACAAATAATTGATTGCACATTAACATTAACGACAACTCTAGGATAATTTCGTTCCAGTTCATCAGCAAAGGCATACATCTTCCATAAAAATCTGATTCTTTCATCTTTACCCTGTTATAAGTTGCTACAACCCTTAAACAGATTCAACTAAGTTAATAATCATCCCAGAACAAAATTGGCAAACCCATAATACACTAAACTCCTTTATCTACCTGAATGTAAGTCAATGGAAACATTTAATCTACATAGCCTACTAAAATCATCCCAATAATATGTCGAAATTAAAAATGGGCAGATCTTTCAAAATCAATGCATTAGCAAGAGAAGGTAATTTGAACCGAAAAGCCTGCTAGTACTGTAGTAATAGATAAAGAATTTAGAACATTGGCAATAAAAAATGCCAGACAAAAAAGAAAAGGGCAAGGATTTCAAAGTATATCACAAAACGCTTCACCCTCTTATGAGTCATACACATTTCAGAAGTGTTTGGAAAGACAAAAATATCAGAAATTAGCAAAGAATTTGTTAAAAAGGTCCACAGGCACACAGTCTAACCTTAAATATTTGATATTAGTACAGAATGACCAGCATATGTGTAATAGACTGATATTACTCGATGTAATAACAGTACAACGAAGAGGAAACTCAGAAATTTGATTAAACAAATTAATGGTTTTACAAACGATAGTAGTAGGTTTAGCCTACAAAGCTCCAATAGTGACTTTAGGTCACAACTCTCCTAAGAAACTACTCCAAAATTCTGCCTACCTTCCTTCTACCCTCTCTACCAATTTATACTAATGCTAACAACTACTAACCTAATAATACTACACTTCCCATATTGCCCATATTACATTTGATAATTACTAACATACTAAACTACCCATAATACCCTCCCCTAAGTCAGTTCATTACAATATGATCAAAATTATAAGACTGCACTATAAAATAAAGCAAGCCATTCAATGCTAACCTAAGTTGAAATGTCCGTAGTAACCAAAAGGATGGAGAAATTAACAAATAGAACTACAAATACTTCTAAATCTAAACAAATTGTGACTATGATTTAGCATCGATGATCATTCTAGTTCATCAGCAATGCATACATCTTGCATAAACATGAAGTCCACAATAGGTAATTTGATAGACCTGACCTCAATAACAAGATTTAAAAGTCAAGTTCTACTTAAAACACACAACTACCATAAAATTATCAGTGAAGTAATGAAACCATATTGAGCCTCATCCATAAAAAAAGTACATCCATTTACCTAAACTGAGCCCTTGAAACACAATGCCACTTGACCAGCTACCTCTCCTCTACAAGTTTATAAAATATATGAAACAGAAAAATAATATTTTTCAAATTCTCCAATAATCGAAAGTGCTCAATGACTTCCTAGAGCTTTTTGGCTTTTCCTGTAAATCTTCCACAATGATATAAGTATATAACCATCCACTTCATCTATGATCAAGTAATCCCAACATAAACATATTGCCGATATCGGCAACCAATTTCATGCTAGATTCTCTCATCTTTACCTTATAATAAATTCCTAAAACCTTAAACAGATTCTGCTAAAATCTAATAACCATTCCTAAAAAAAATTAGCAACCTACACTATACTCCCTCATCTAACCGGTTGTAAGTTAATGGAAAAGCTATAATCTATTTAGCCTTCCAAAATCATCCCAACAATAAGCAGACAATAAACATGAGCATCATGCAAGGTACTTGACCCAAAGTCCCAAACACCTGCTCGATGAAAAAGTTTGAAACAACATAAAAAAAAAAATATCAGACAAAACAATTGCGTGGATTTCTCGGAGTATCACAGCATCTTTAATCCTCCTATAAGAAACACATATTTGAGAAGTGTCTGGAAAGACTACAATAGCATGAATTAGCAAACAACCACTTAGGAAGGTCCATAAGCACACTGCCTAACCTTAATCGACCAATATTCAATATAATGACAAATATTATGAGACTAAACTCTTGAGTAAACTATTAAAGCAGGCAATTTTATACCAAGCTGAGCTGAAAGACCTAAAGTAAGCAAAAAGATAGGAGCATTAACATAATAAACTACTTCTATAACCTAAAAAATAGCTTACTACATTAGCATGGATGGCAATCCTAGGAATGTTAAGTTCTAGTTCACCAGCAAAGGCATACATCTTCCATAAACACAAGCCCACATGAACTACGCACGCAGCTGCCGGTATCATCTAATCATACCCATGAACAATTATCGAACACTACTTCATTGATTCACATTCTTATTCTTAAATTCACTAATTATAGAGAATGATCAACTGGCAAGATAACAAATTCGCAACATTCGGGCCCGATTAGCCCTAGCAAGAATCCAACATTTTGCACAATTACAACATACCCACCCTAAAAGCTCAGCAACAATCAATCAAAAAACAAGCATTTCAAACAAACATCCACCAAATTAAACAAAACAAAAAATAGAAGAAAGCAAATCATATAACCAAATATACTTTGGATAAACTCCAAAATTAATAAAAGGGTCAATTGTTCAAAAACCCTTATTTTTCTTCATCAACTACAACCCCGTTATATATCAACATCATCAAAATTCAAACCAAAAAAAAGAAACCCTAAACATTATCCAACGATGAAACGAAATTGAAAACAAAAGGGGCGTAAATTACTCAGAAGAATCAGAAACTTGTTGGGCCTGAAGACGTTCAAGGGCTTTCTGATGGGCCCAAGTCTCGAGGGTAAGATCGGGCTTAGCACTGAGCCCAACACCAAGGATGACGATGGTGAGGAAACTGGTGACGTAGCAGGGCAATTCCCAATCTTCCCATTTGCGAGATTGACCAGGTGGTGGAGGAGGGCGGTTGAAGAGGTAGCCGTTGGGTCGGTCTTGGTGACCTGGGCTGGTCCATCGGTCGAGCCCTCCGCCGCCGCGGGTTCGGAGGGTTTGGGTTAGCCTGGATCGGAGGGTTCCGGCGGCTGTGGCTAGGTATTTGGTGGCCACCATGGTTGTGTTGAGGAGAGAGAAAGAGGATGGTGAGTGTTGAGTGAGATCGATCTATATTCTTGTTTTAGCGAGGTGTTGGTTCATTGAAATTGCTATACGACGTCGTTTGTTCTAAATAAAGGAAATTAGTAGAGTCAAAAACTTGCAAGATCTAGGAGAAAATACAAGTTCCTCAAATACGAGAAACATTATACTTTACTAGGAATTTTAAGGTGCAGGCGGCTGTATTTTGCTTGGCACAGTCAAAAAATGCAAAAAGAACATGTACCTATTTTGTAAAGAGCATACAGTTATTTTGTAAAGAACATATAGTTGTTTTGTAACGAACATCAAATTTTATATATTTTTTTCATATCTAAAGAACATCTGTGATATTAATAAAGAACATGATAATATTATGTATTAAAATTTATCTATATATAACCACCCTAATTTGAAGACAAAATTTAATAAACTTTTCACATTAAGCAATGATCACTATGTTGCAAATAAAGTACATTACACTGATTGATCAATGAACATAAACATATGTTCTTTTTATTTATTTTTTTGGTGCAAATATGTTCTTTTTACTCTAGGTATATGTTCATTACATTTTGATAGTATGTTATTTTTACTTTAGGTATATGTTCATTACATTTTAATAGTATGTTCTTTTCTATAACTTTATGTTCATTACTTTTATATATCATGTTCTTTCCTACAAAACGACTGTACGTTGCACCGTACAAGCGCCTGTAGGAACCAGCTATTGGTACTTTACTCCCTACGATTTTTAAATGGATATTTTCATCTTTTCGGTCAAATAAGCATAGTTTTTTTTTTGTGTCATCTAAAGTTTTTTGGTGCATCAGGCTGCCAATTTAGTAAAAATAACGAATTTAAACGCACGCTTAACGGGGTTATTATTCACGCGCATAACGAGGAAACTGATTTTGTCAGGGTTACCCGTATTTTTCAGGGGTTATTTGTATTTTTTTTCAAGGTTTACTTGTATTTTTTTTACCAGGGGTTACTTGTATTTTTTTTCAGGAGTTACTTGTATTTTTTTTTTGGGGGTTACTTGTATTTTTTTTTTCAAGGGTTACTTGCATGGGTTAATTCAAGGATTACTTGTATGAGTTACTTATTCAGGGATTACTTATATGAGTTACTTCAAAGGTTACTTGTATAAATTACTTATTCAGAGGTTACTTATTATTTATTCAAGGGTTGCTTGTAGGCCTCGTACCAAACCAGTAACACCCTACAAGTAACCCTTGACCAAAACCAGTAACATCCTACAAGGCTACAAGTAACCCCTGACCAAACCAGTAACACCCTATAAGTAACCCTTGACCAAAACCAGTAACACCTTACAAGGCTACAAGTAACCTTGACCAAACCAGAAACCCTTGACCAAAATCAGTAACACCTTACAAGTAACCTCTGACCAAACCAATAACACCCTACATGTAACCCCTGACTAAACCAGTAACACCCTACATGTAACCCCTGATCAAACCAGTAACACCCTACAAGTAACCCCTGACCTAACTAGTAACACCCTATAATTTTTGACGTAGAATGTTTGATCTAAGATTCTATGAAGAAAACGAGCTCAAATTTATTTGTTCTCATCAATTTTACTACTTCAAATGTTGTTGATGATTTTAAGGATAATTAACCACAATTTTTCACAGCAATTTGACACCAAATTTCTACAATTTCGGGCTTTAATTGCAGCAATTTGGCAAAGAGGAGAGAGAAAATGGGTGGAGTAGAGATATGATGGTTGGTGATGTGTGGTTTGGCTTGAAGAATAAGCTAAGAAAAGAGGAGAGAGAAAATAGGTGGAGTAGAGATATGGTTGTTGGTGATGTATGGTTTGGCTTAGAGAAGAAACTAAGAAAAGAGGAGAAAGAAGAGTTGTAGTATTTAAAAAAAAAAATAGTGGCTGGCCACACCGTGTGGCCAGCCACATACAAAAATTTGTGATATACTATACTAAAACAGGGTACACTAGCTCTATGGCTACCAAGTGTCCCTGTTTTAGGTTTTTAATTCTTTTTATTTTCTGGTAATATATATAATTGTCAAAGATCCTATTATTAAGGATACTTCGAGATAATATCTTGACTTGCTTAATATTGTTTGTCAATCAATGTTATTAATGGATTTTCAGCATATATTCAGTCCATATCATTTGATTGTAGATTGCTTAATTCAAGGATAATATATTCTGTTATATTGTACTTCGTACATTGTAATATCTTGACTTGTTTAATTTTGTTTATCTGTCAATGTTATTGATGGATTTTCAGCATATATTTAGTCCATATCATTTGACTTTAGATCTCTTAATTCAAGGAGATTATATTTTGTTATTTTGTACTTCGTACATTATTGTAAGGAATATTTAAGCAATTAAATTACTTAATTTGATGCCTCGTATCTCTTTCTAATAACAAAATACACGCGTTAGTAACTTTAAGAAAAATATTAAATAATTAAAATAGAGATTTGGGACCAAACCCTCAGACAGTATCAACCCTTCACGTCTAGGGCGAAGGCAACTTCGAGCTTGGATAGGTGTATCTAGAACTTGTGAATGCGGTATTTTGTTTGTAAAAGCTAGCTAGAAAGCGAGAGGGAGAAAGAAAAAACTATTGCTTAAGAGAGGAAGAGAGAGAATTAGATTATTACCGATGATTGTACACGGGGAATATGACCCTATTTATATATAGAGAAAATAATCCGAAAACGATAGAAAAGAGATCGAATCCGACTCGGAATAAAACGGCTCATGTCGGGAACTACAAGCACTAGCGCAAAACGACAGGAATCACGCATGGCGACAGGGTCTGTCGCCGTGCGACAAGGCTGTCGTTTGACGCTGATTAAAAGATAAAACGCGCTTTTGTACGAAATCTTTTTTCTAATATAATTAAGCAATTAGACTCCGCGTTTATCAATTATAAAATCAGATTTATCATAATACTTATTTATTCGAAATCAAATTCTTTATCTTCTAAAAAGATAATTATCAATCCTAATTCCAATATAATTTAAAAGAACCTTCTAGATCATCTTAGAAGATTAAAAATAATCCTAATAACTTTAGGAATAATAATTAATGGGCCCTCCACTAGTTCATTTGGCCATAAAACCATTTCAAGCCCAACTTAGTATTTAGGCTATAACTTCCTCATTATTCATCAGAATTGGGCTTATAATATATCATTGGAATGCTCTTTTCGAGCCCAATCCAACTACACTATTATTGGACCCTTATCATGGACCAAATTAAATTGGACTGACTTATTTTCATAAATAGAGTAGATTTTCAAAAACAGAAAGAAGGATATTTTAAGAAAAACAACCGCATCACTTAGACTTTTCACACTTTCACTTCGTTCGATAATCAATGACGTAAAAAGTATTCATCACTAGGTTTGGTTTTTGGGGAGACACATTTGGATGTCTACAATTATATTTTAGCTTTCCTTATTAGTAGTGGCGAATCTTGACATTTTTTTTTGGGGGGGGGGAGGGCGAATTAAAGTTTAGTTTCTAAACTTAAACCATAGTAGACACTAATAACAATATAAAATAGTAAAACGGTTGTAGACACCCATTTGTGTCTCCCCAAAACCAAACCCAATGATGAGTACCTTTCGCGTCGAATCATAATCGAATGAAGTGAAAGTGTGAAAAGTTTAGTGTTGCGGATAGTTTTAATTTCTTTTCTCTTCTCTCTGTTTTTGAAAACTTATTTTAAGAAAACAGCCAATCCAGTTTGGTTGGTCCATGATATGGGTCCAATAGTAGTGTAGTTGGATGGGGCTTGACAAGAGCTTTCCAACGATATATTATAAGCCCAATTCCGATGAATATTGAGGAAGTTATGACTAATTTACTAAACTGGGCCCGGTTTGAGCCTTATATGCGGCCCAATGATCTAAAGGAGGGCCTAATATGATTTACCATTCCTAATGCAATTAGGAATGGTTTTAGTCTTCTAGATTCTTCTAGAAGGTTCTTTTCGTTCCTAATTCAATTAGCATTGATAAATTGACTTTTGTTGACTTTTTAGAGTTTTAATTAAAATCAAAGAGCATTTTTGAGGGAAATACGATTTTATCCTCCTGTACGACATTTTTTTATCTAATTTTAGGAAAACGCGTAAATTTCCAGGTCAGCGCCAAACACTAGCTGTAGCGCCTGGCGCCAGGGTTAGCGTCTGGCGCCAATGGCCTGCGTTGGCGCCAACCTTGTTTCATGTGCGCCAGACTCTGTTTTGATAATTTTATCTTTTTGGCTGATTTTCTCTATAAATAACGTCGTAAAAACTCCGTTTTCATTCACCTACAACCAGTTTTCATTCTCATTCTCTTCTAATCATTCGCCAACTCTCATCAATTTTCTTTTCATTCTCTCTCTCTAAACTAGCTTTTACATACAAAATTCCGCATTCATTAGATCTAGAAACACCTAGCCGTATTCGAAGTTGCCTTCGCCCTAGACGTGAAAGGTTTAATTTCTGAGGGTTTGGTCCCAAATCTCTATTTCAATTATTTAATTTAATTGTTTTGTTTATTATTTTCCTTGAAGTTACTAACGTGTGTATTTTGTTATTAGAAAGAGGTACGAGACATCAAAGTAAGTGCTTTAATGGTTTTTATTGATGTTATGATGTAGAAATCATGTTTAGATTGTTATTTTGATTCCTAGTATCATGTCTAGGGTAACTTTAATATTAAATATGATTAAGAGTATGATGCTTCCTATGTTTTTCCTTTCTAATATTCATGTTAGTATCATGTTAGGGTTAAAGATTTGATTTTTATTGCTTAGTGACATGCTAGGGTTTGTTATTAATCTTGTTAGTATCATGCCTAGGATCTTGCTATGCTTTAACATGATTATTATTATTATGATTATCATTATTAATTATGATTATTATTTTTAATTATGATTGTTATGATTATAATTATAATTTTATTTTTATTATTATGTTGCTTGATTATATATATTGTTATTGCTTGATCACACCTTTCATGCATGTTTAAAGGGAATTTGGTACTTGTAATCACGCTTAATAA